AGAAATTGTGTATTAACTGGATCTATATGCCATCCAGTCTTCGCCGAGAGTTGTTTCCAAGGGTGGAAGCGAAACCAGTTTCTCAAACAAAACATGACCAAGTGTGTGAGTGTGGACACGTGAGCCCGATGAATTAATAAATAGCTGTCATATGTCGCTGTTTCAAGTCTGCTAGTTAATATTAAGTTGCTTTTTTGGACAGCCAGTGGTGATGAATGATGTGGCTTTTGTATTTCAGCATTTCTGTCATGTTCCAAAGTAAGCACGCTACTTAGACGATTTAAAAATCTGTTCACACTTGTGTTATGGATTTTGGGAAATGCTAATATGTCGAAAGACAAAAATGTTTTTAGACTCTATGGAGTCCTTATATAGTTTGGGTTGTAAGAGGAGCGTAGGATCTTACCTTTGCCTCCTGTGCCCCTTTCTGGGAGCCAGGAGAGAAACAAACAGAACTAACATCTGTTAAGCGTCTTCTATTCGGGCCAGGCACTTGCTCCTTGTTTTATCATTTCATCCTCACAGTTCCTCATTTCCTACATAAAAAACTGAGGATCAGAGAGGGTAACGCATCTCTCAGGATGCACAGAGTTTATAACTAGGGAGCATCAATTCGAACTTAGGCCTGGCTCCTTGCAAGGCACATGTATGGTATATGCGTCTCCTTTGCATGATTTCCCAAGCTGTGTATTCTTTCCTAAGTGAAATTTTCTAAAATAAGTCTTAAAATCAGCCTGTTGCCCAAATGCTTGGCAGCGCCTCGGCATTTATTCTGCCTCATTCTTGGTGGGAATCGGAGTTCTCTTCTCCCTACTGGAAGCCCCAGGACGGCATAGGCTCGCATGTCTTACGCCCATGGGACTTTTGGCTGGAACACCCTTTCCACCTGGGCCTGACCCATCAGCCGGGTGGCAATGGTGGTAGGGGACCCAGCTCATCCCAGAGGCACAGCAGGGCCTTTGTGATTTGACCTGAATGTTTCAGGCTTTACACACCTGTTGGGTTTGGCTACCAGGTGGTTTGTTGAAATGAAAGCAAGTCCCAGGCGGAATTCGGTCACACATCAGACGCTCGTGTTAGGCAGAAGGCACAGAGCAGTTATACAGCCCATTCCTGTAAGTTTGGGGACGTCCCAGCTCTGTTCTGGGGCATGTGGACAAGTACTTGCCCAAGAGGCTTATGGAGGACTGGCCCCTACCGGTCAGATCAATGGCCAGGGGATAGAGAACCTTCTGGGGAGGCTGCAGATGCTCCATTCCTTGGTCGGCGTGGTGGTGATGTCAGTATGTGCAAATGTAGAATTTCATAGAGCTGTCTGTGCCCTTAAGGTTTGTTCACTTTACTATATTAATAACATGCCTCAGTAAAAAACAAAGGGGGAACTAAATTATTGTCCTTAAGTTGTTCACAGTCTGTGAGCAGGGGAACTATTATAGTTTGTTCAAACCAATAAACCCCTTGAGTTAGAGGTTTTCAGTGGAAGGGCGCCGGGGCGGGGTGAAATCACGCAAGGGTCTCCATTTGCACCCACTTCATCGTTTCAGACACCCTTGAATTGGTGGCCTGGCCCCTGGACAATATCTGTCTCCCTCCAGGGCTTTCTCTTCACCATGTTAAGGTCAGCACAGAGAAGTCAGCTAGATGGAGAAGGGGACACCAGGCTCCTGTGTGACTCCCCTTGTCAAGGTCTTTCTGGTCACCCCCAGGCCAGCCACAGGTTCTCTAGGTTGGAAGTGGTGGCTGCCCCATGGGGCCTCCGTTTGCCTCCTGCGGTCTCGACTCCGCCCTGTTTTAAGCAAATCCTTGCCCCAGAATTTGACTTCTTTTGTCCTTGAAGCTGCCCTTGGTGATTTTAACAGAATACCTGATGAGGCTAGGCAGGAAGGCTGTGGGAATGAAACATCTATTTTCCTCGGCAATAATCCCACACTCACCCGGATGGGTGCGGGGAGGGGCTGTGGAGCCCCACCTTTCTTTCCCCTGAAGGGCAAAAAGAGGCCTGGGTGGGGGTGCCGGGGTGGGGGGCGGTCCTTGCAGAGGCCTTACCACTAAGTACCAACTTAAAGGAGTACCTGATTCGGCCTGCTTGTAACCCTGGCTTTAGCGGCCTTTGCCAAGAAGTGAAATTTGGCAGAGTTAACAGATAAAGATGACCCCTTTTATCCGTTGTCTCTCCCACAGGGTAACAGAGCTCCTGCTTTCTCAGGTTCAGAATTCCTGTGACTCACTTTATTGCCCAAGCGCTCTTCTCTTTTCCTTCACCTGTCACAAGCCACCTCGTCCCATACTTGCTCCCAGCATCCCTGCCTTAAAAAGAAATACAGACACAGGGAGCCTTTGTTGATCTCCCCCACCCACTGTGGAATCCGTTGTCATAGCCATGGTTGCCCCACCCCCATTTCATCATTTGGGGTTCCCATCATTTTTTTTCTTGCCTTTCTCAAGCAGCATCAGCCAACATTGTTATTAAATAAACCATTAATATGTCTTTACAGCCTCTCCTGGCACTTGTTAACCAGATTGAGCCACAAGAAAGACTAAGTTTATGAAGAGGCTGGTCCATTGCTGGACCCAATGCACAACCAATACAGAGATTTGGGGGTTTCTATGAAAGCAACATGGGAATTGAGTTCTATAACTATAGTTACCTTAATTTTATTTTCTGAGATTTTATTTCCCTTTATTGTCTTGGTTTTAATTTATAGCTTTAGTATACTTTTTTTTTTTTTTTTTTTAAAGAACTAAGTGTTAGTGAAAGGCACAGATTGGAGTACTTAATAATTAACCAAAAGTTTTATATAATCTCTAACTAGCTGGTTCCTGGACAATTATATAACACCCATCTTTTAAAATATACTATGAGAACACTAAGAACCGGATGGGTTAGATTTTTTATTGTTAACATGCTTGGGAAAGTTGTAGAATTTATTTGAAGCTAGTGTGTCAAGTAGAAGTCTGGCCTCCTGAAGCCCAAACCAAACACGTTAATCAGTCTAAACTCAGGCTGTGGATGAAGGCCGTGGTTTACCCTGGAAAAGTTGCAGGGGTGGCAGGTGGCAGCCCAACTAACACTCTGAGGGAGTCCCTGTCCCTGTCCTGGTCAATCCCCTTTCCCACGCAGACACTGCCGTCTTGGAGGCTGGTACTGTGTGTGGAAAGAAATGGGGGGCTGCTACCTCTTCAAATTGGGGTTATGATGCTCTCCCCCCGAGTTTTCCTAGCCCAGCTCCTCAGTTCTCTTAGGTCCCAGAGAGGGCGTTATCACCTACCTGGCCATGAGGCATGCTAATGCCGAGCACCAAGGTGAAAGGCCCAGGATCTAACCCAGATTCAGTCTCTTATCAGCTGCGTGATTAGGCAAATTACCTAACTTCTCAGGGACTCAGTTTTTTAGTTTTTTCCTCTGTAAAATAGAGATAATGCTCTCCCACCAGAATGTTGATTAAATGAGACAGTACGTATGGGAAACCAACAAATGATCATTGTTTTTATTTGTAATATACTAATAGGTGATATGGAAAATTCTGCCTTCCCCCTTGGTTTTTGTCATACTGTGTAATAGTTTTTTTAGAAGGCATCTCCAAAACCTTTGGTAGAACAAGTCGCCCATCTGCCCCCATCCCCCCCCCAAAAGAAAGATTTTTAAAAATTGTAGTAAAACACACATGACATAAAATTCACCTTTAAGCCATTTTTAAGTAGGTAATCCAGTGACATTTATTACATTCACAGTGTTGTCTACTATCCCCATTATCTAGTTCCAGAACATTTTAACCACCCCGAAAGGAAACCCCATAGCCATTAACAAGACACATCCCATTCCCCAATTCCCCAGCCCCTGGCAACCACAAATTGGCCCTCTGTCTCTTTGGATTTGACTGCTCTGGATAGTTTATATAAACGGAAGCGTACAGAATGTGGTCTTTTGTGTCTGGCTTCTTTCACTTAGCGTAACATTTTCAAGGTTCATCCATGTTATACATGTATCAGTACTTCATTCCTTTTAATTACTGAATAATATTCCATTGTGTGGATATACTATCTTTGTCCCTTTGGACAGCTATAACAAAATACCACAGGCTGGGTGGCTTATAAGCAACAGAAATCTATTTCTCACGGCTCTGGAGGCTGGACGTTCATGATGAGGGTGGCGGCATGGTCAGAGGGCCTTCTTCAGGTTGCAGACTTACTGTATCCTCGCATGGTGGGAGGGCTAGGGAGCTCTGTGTGGTCTCTTTTGAAAGGGCATTAATTCCATTCATGAGGGCTCTGCCCTCAGGACCTAAGCACCTCTCAAAAGCTCCACCTCCTAATACCATTACTTTGGGCGTTAGGATTTCAACATATTTATTTGGGGGTGGGCACAAATATTCAGACCGTAGCATATACCATATGAAGTTAATCCAGTCATTAGTTGATGTACATTTGGGTTGTTTCTACCTTTGGCTGTTGTGAGCAGCATTGCTATGAACATTCTTGTACAAGTTTTTGTTTGAATACCTGTTTTCAATTCTTTGGGGTATGAAATTGTTGGATCATAGGATAATTCTATATTTAACTTTTTAAAAACTGCCAAGCTGTTTTCAGCTATGGCTGCCCATTTTACATCCCTTGCAGCAATGCCCGAAGGTTCCAATTTAACTTGTTACTTCCTGTCTTTTTAGTTTTATTAGAGCTACGATAGTGGGTATGTAGTGGTATCTCGTTGTGGTTTGTATGTTTACTTATTTTGTATGTTTCTGAACTCAAACATTTTTTACTCTGCAGTGTTCTTAAGCCTGTCACATTGCAAAGCTATGTATAAACCACCTACACATAATTTCCAGTAAGAGGAAGGTGTAAAGCATCTTTTCCTTCACAGCCCTTGGTGTAGCTTAGCCTTGTGGCTCTGCACTCTGCCCTGTAGATAAACCACTTGTAGGCAGTCGGTGGCTAATTATAGATGATGCCTTGTGCCTCTGACCTGCTCTCTGATTTTTTTTTTTCTCTTTTGATTTTAGGTATTTCCTCTGGGTCACCCAAAATGCTTTCAGAGCGTATTGGATAAGAGCTGAGCCACCTGCCTGCTGGGGACTTCCATACTCTCTGCTCCACTGTCTTCTGATGGCAGTTTGACTGTATCCAGGCCACGTGACCTGCTGCTCATGATGGGTGATGAGAAGAACCTTGGAGTGTCCCCCAAATTGGTCTCCCCTTCCAGGAGCCCAAGTACCTGCTCCTCTAAGCAGGGAAGTCGGCAGGTAAAGTTTTTAACTAATGCAACTTTTAAAATGCAAATGTAAATCAGGCAGTCTGTGGATTCAAGTGTGTATATTTACTTGGGAACGCCTACTTCGCAGTTTAAGAGCATTTGTTTTCAGTCCTGTCTTAATTGCATGAGAGGAGTACATTATAGATGATTTTAATAATGCAGCCGAGTGCACCAGGTAGGACTTTGCACTATTTCACCCAATTCTTGCAGCTGTCCTCCAACACAGATATTAATATCCCTATGCTCCCCACGAGGAAGCTGAATCAGACTGACTGAGCTATTTCCTTAAGGACACACAGCTAGTAAGGGGCAGAGCAAGAATCCAAAGATCAGTCTGTTTGACTCCGGAGCCCACACTTTCATTTATACCCTACTAGCAAAAAAAATAACAAAAATCACTTTTCCAGTAATTATAACCTCGTTCCATTTTCCTCTCCCTTCGCTTCACCAAACCTTTTATAAAACCTTCCAACCACAGGCTGCCCTGGCAGTAAGTTTGAGTCCCACCTGCTCTGTTTCTCTAACAGATGAGGGAAGCGAGTCAACAGAGAAGTGGTCAAAAGGAATTAAATGGGAAGAAGGAGAGAAGTGAAACAAAGGCCTGAATCATTAACTCCTAAATAACTGCCGGCTAATTATATGTTGCCTTTCTGGTTTCCTTTCTAATAAATCCCTGTTGGCAGAATTTGCTGGTGTGGATCAGTGGCAGTAAGTGCACATTAATCATTGTGATTCTCCCTCCGTCGGGTAAGGAGAGAGCGAGCCAGCTGTCCAGTAGCCGGGTTTACAGCTGAGGTGGTCTCTGAGCATTTCCAGTGCTTGCTGGCTCTGTCCTCTTCGCCGATCCCCCGTGGGAAACGCCAGCCTAAGAATTGGCCCAGAGGACTTGGTTCCAGGCCTGGAAGCAGCGATCCTGCAACCTCCCTCCCACCTCAGGCACATCCACACATTTATGACACATCCACACACTTATGACACATCATCATGGGTTCTCCGTTGGAACATTGCCTGGGACAGGGAGTTTGCCACCTCACAGCACTGCCTCGTGTCATTAGAATCTGTGATTCTAGAGCAGCGATTTTTAACTGGCATGCCACAAAAATTTTCAAACCATGCAATACCTGAGAATTTAGTCAGGGGCACTGGCCTCTCTTCCCTTAGACTGTCAAAAAACTGACACCAGCCAACACAACAATAGCCCTCTGGTGTGAATGCCCTTCTTGAACCATTGATACATAGATGATATAAAAGAGTTGCATTTTATTGGTCACGTTGCATAATGAGGTTGCGTCTGATTGGTTAATTCTTGGTACCGGAACTCCTGATATACAGTTACAGGCGCTTGATTTTTTAAAAAGTCACTTTCGACCAAAAAGGGTAGGTTATTATTATTATTTTGTAAATCAATCATAATTATACCTATTTTTTAGTCTGATTGGCAAAAAATGTCTTTTTTGGTGTGCTACAGAATGTCAGTAATTAGTTTATGTGTGCCATGAGATAAAAAAGGTTTAAAATTGCTCTTCTAGCCACTTAGATTTTGCCACAGGCCTGACATTTGGGGAGCCCTCCAAGATCTCTCCCAAGGGGTTAGGAAAAACAATTTTTTTCAATACAGTCATCACTTCCTGCTGGGATTAAAAAATGACTAAAAATAGTCCTTGGCTGATGCACAGTGGCTCCTGGGAGTTCCATTTGCCTAAGGGTAGCTATGCTCACCCCCTTTGCCAGCTTTCCAGGTGGGTATTTCCCTCCCTAAGCCAAATTTCTGGTTGGGGTTAAAGCCGAATGAAGATCTCCCCCCCACCTTTGTACCTTATAGCATCTATTGTGCCCTCCTTGGGTAAGGGGGAGAACATGATTCACTTAAGCCGGAGCTTATAACACTAGGAATTGGAGCAAGGCGGTGACATTCTAGGATTGAACATTATGGAAACCTTTTTTTTTTCTTTTTTTTTTGGTGTGTTATTTGAAATTGATTGATTTGGTTTACATAGAGCTCTTTCTGAGGTTACCTCCTAAAGAGTAAGAGAAATGTGTTGATGCCTCAACTTTTTCTGACTTAGAATGGTTAGCCTAGTCTCTCACCTGCTTATTCATCAGATGGTCATCTTTTATTTTTAGGATCTCCCACTTTGATGTGCGTGTAATGTTGCTTTAGAAACATGAAGTCTGACGTTTCCTCTGTGGCATGAGTATAAATGTTTTTCACCACCACCCCCCCGGCCAGCCCTATCTATTGGTAGTAGCTGCTAGGAGCACTGTGTTGAGAAGGCTTCTGCAGTTGAGTCTGTCTGCAGTGGGAAAGAGTGCCATGTTTTTAGCTGTGGCTTGTGGGCATGGGCAGGGTGAGTGGCTGCACAGGTGCCACGTTTGTCACCCCTTAGTGATATTAGAGGGTTGACATCAAGAGATCTCTGCCACAGTCTCTATATTCGGCTGTTGGAGGATCATTAGGCAAGTAAAGTCTGCCTTAGTTCTCCAGCCATTAAATGGCCTTGTTTCAAGACCCCTGACACCCTGCAGAAGAAATGGATCTCCTTGAGGTAGACCATCCTTGAGATCTAGTGCCTTTATGGATAGTAACCTATGCCCCTTGCAGGAAATCCCTAATGAGAGGAAGCAGTTCACACAAAGAATAGGTCATTGGTCCCTTCTGACTCTCTTAATTGTACCCTATTTTTTGTGGTGTTCTAGGCTGATCTTTGCTTTAATGTTCGCCCCCATCCCAGGTTTTGGCTCAGTTCTCCCTTTAGCTGGACTGATCCATGTGAAATTGTTCTGCTCTCTTGAATTTTGTGATTTTCTTGAGAAGAATCTTCACGTTTGCTTTAATGCTTTAAAGATGATTTTTTATAAAAAATAATATATGCTCACTGTAGGTCTATGTGAATTGCAATACTTTAATTAGTTTACTTTTAAATGGCTGCTGATGGGTCAAATAAAAGGAAGCCTGAGAATGACTTGGTTGTTGAGGTCATCCGTGACATTGTCGAGTGGTGTCCTTTGAGTGGTGGGCATGAAAGGCTGGTTAGAGTCTATTCATGAGAGAATAGGAACAGAGGACGAGGGTACCTCAGTTCCACCAGGCCCCCAGACAGGATTTGAGAGAAGCCTTCACACATGTTCTGTTTGGGCACCTTGAGCTTGGCTAATGCCATGCTTAACACTGCACGTGGATAATTCACTCCCATTTATTCATTGGTTGAAAGAGTATATGACTTTATGAGTCCTGAGTCCTAATTGCACAGCTTTTTAGCTTTCACAGCACTTGCAGATGCAAATTAGTGGACTGAATTTCCTTAATGCCAGCAGCAAGTATCCCCCACCAGGGCAGGGGAGAATGTGTGGCAGGTACACATGCGGAATGGGAGCAGGAAACTCGCAGGTTCCTCAGCTCCCTCACTCCAGCAACGTATTGTGAGGATCTTAAAAAATGAGCACAGGCCTCTCCATTGAGTTTCTTCTGGCAGATGATGATGTAATCCCTAAACGTTTTGTATACCTGTGGTCTCCAAACAAGCTACTCTTTTGGAAGGTATGGAACAGGAGTGAAGACTGTCTTTGTTGATACTGACCTGTATTCATACTGGCTCTGCTTGTTGCTCGCTGGGTGACCTGGTCATGTTATATAAAACCTCTCAGTCTCAGCTTTTCAGCTGTGAAATGTGGACAATTGTGTTTCCTTTTGAGAACTAAATGAAATAATAAATATGAAGTACTTAGTCTAGCAGATGGTAGACATTCGACAAGTGTGGGTTAAATTAATGAATGAAGAAGCCTGCAGTTGCTAGGTAGGAAATTACAATTCACAAAGCTCTGTAGACACATGAAGTAGGTTAAGGGGCATCTAAGTGGGAGAGGCAATTGCTATTTCAAAACTTGTGAAATATGAGTAATTGCAGTTTCCTGTTATCTTTTTCCCACCGCCCCCTTCCATTTCTTTCCTAGAACTTTCAAAGTAGCACATTTCAGAAGCCGGATTGAGCTAAAGATAAATGAATAGGTTTTATCTTTATTGAAAGAGTCCTGTATGCCCTAAACTTGATTACTTCAACCAGCACCTATGAAGAACCTATTATTAAAAGACTGGGCAGGGAGGTTTGGAGCTACAAAGGTCAGGACAGCTGAGCAGCCCACTATAAACAAGCAGTCCACTCCGACTGGGAAGACTGGATGGTGAAGAGAGCACGGCCCCCATACTTTTTGTTTTCTTTCCTATGTTGCTAGCATTTGCTACGTAAGTGAGAAATCAGAAAGTGAAGCCTGCAAAAATAATTGACAAATGCTTAGTTCATGATTACAGGTGATTTGAAATGGCGAGATCTATTGTCAGGTAGGTCTCCACACAGTTATACAATTTGTTCTTGACCCTGGGCTACAAACTGCTTGTTTGTAGTGGGCTGCTCAGCTCTCCTGTCCTTTGTGGCTCCAAACCTCCCTGCCCAGTCTTTTAATAATAGGTTCTTCATAGGTGCTGGTTGAAGCAATAAAGTTTAGGGCATATAGAACTCTTTCAATAAAGATAAAACCTATTCATTCATCTTTAGCTCAATCCGGCTTCTGAAATGTACTACTTTGAAAGTTTTAGGAAAGACATGGAAGGGAGCGGTGGGAAAAAGACAACAGGAAACTGCAATTACTCATATTTCACAAGTTTTGAAATAGCAATTGCCTCTCCCACCTGTCCCTGGGCTAATCTAAGGTGGCCTTGGAGCCTCCCAGGGTCATCCATGATGTTTGTTTATACCGGCTATTAGATGATGCAGCACTCCAGGGAGCCCAGGCTGGCTGGGCCCGGTGCCAGAATCCATAAGACACAAGAGTTGAATGGGAGAGAATTTGCCAAGAAGAGAAAAGTGAATTAAAGCTATAATGCTCAGGTGTTTATAATTTCAGCCATCTGGGTATTGAAAATACTCCTGTTTATTCCTTTTGATTCATCATGTCTTTAGAAACACAGCGATTTACCAGCTGCCTGTCTTAAGC